GTTGATGTATTTATGCATATCGTGGTGACGTATGGTTTGTAGTGAGGGTTGGCTGTTAGGAGCGCAACGTGAGATCCTGAATTTAGGGATCTGAGAGGATTAGTATAGGATTGGGACGAGTTTGCGTTAAAGAGAAAGGCTGATTGAGGCCTTGGGGTAGTGATTGCCGTACGTGAGTGAGGACGTAAGTACCTGATGGTATGCCTGAGTACCGGATCAGGTAGGTTGGATGTTTTCCTTGGCCTGACGGCAGTATGACCGTAGGCCTGGGTAGAGAAATTGTAAAGAATTAACATACCGTGGGCGTAAGACCGTGAGTCAGTTGTAATGAGACCGAGACCGCGTAAGGTCTTGTATACAAGGGTCTTGAAAGAGTGGGGAATTATACCTTGAATGAAGTACGAAACTTGTGATGAGCGTAACTGGTTTAATGTGTAGAAACCGGTGGAGGCCTAGAATACTACTGGAGCTAAGGATTAACCAATGAATATTTAAATAGTTAACGACAGATGTGACAGTATGTAATAAATACCAACATGTCTTGCTGTGACAAGTCTAGATAGCTTAATTGTATTTGAGGCCTAGACCTGGATGAAACCAAAGTGAGAAAAATGTTATACCTTTTCCTGTAATAAAAAGAACTTGAAATAGCAACTTTGAGCAGGAATGCAAGAAACCGATGCAATCTGTAAAGCCAAAAGACAAGTGACAGAGGCAAGAATAAATGACTGCGTGATTCTAAGGAGAAGATGTACTACAGATGTGGATTTAATGCAATTACCCTAGAAGATCGTGTTTAATAATTAATATTTGTATGTAGAGTTTGAATAGGGTTGGTGTATAGTTAGAAAAACCTGTTCTTTATATTGGTAATATGAGATGTCTATAAGAATTAATAAAATGAATATTAAAACGTGGTTACTATTTAATTAGGTGTAGGAAAAAGAACCGTATCTTAAAAATAATTGTTTGAGATTTTTAAATGTTTTAGATATATCAGACCGGCCAACACTGTTTAAGAAAAAGACTGGTAGTTAGACCGGATTGAATAACCAATACTGACATGTAGGTATCAGCAGTTAACTGACCAAACAGGGAATATGCGTTTACATTTAAAATTCGTGTAAATGAAATTCATGAATTTACTTAGCATAGTTTAAAAGAATTAACCGTAATAGGGATTTGTAACATGCGTTCGTTTAAACCGTACAAATAGATCAGTACTGAATGATAAAATAGCGAGGGGTGAATAGGATTGTCATCTAACGTTAAGGATGCACGAACGGGTAAGTACCAGGTTCGTGCGTATGACCGAACAGTAACATAGAAATTCAATGATTAATATGAGTGTTTATACTTATACATAGTTCGGCAGTTTTTCCGTACGAATACGTGAACGAATATATAAATATAGATAAATACAAATAATTACATAAAATATTACATTAGCATACACGTAGAATTTAAGTACCTATAAATGCATATATATTAAAATTCTACATGTATATTTAAGTAATCTTTTAACATAATTATGTGATTTGATTAATTAAAATTTGATTGACATGCCTGACAACACAGGGAGAAAGTGCAGATAATTTAATTCGCAAGCACTATATTTGACCCTGTAACTCTCCAAGACACCATAAAACCTGTACATAGGGGGTACTGTTTTACTTGTAGACTTCGCTGAACTCAAATATTAGTGTTTCAAAATGATAAATTGTATTACAACAATGATATTTTAAGTAAAAGTGAAATTTTTTTACAAACGAACGGCACTTTTATGGACTATATTATTGTTGTAATATGTTTTACTTTTTAAAACACTAATATTTGTGTTTAGTGAAGTTTCCCGAGAATAACAGTACCCCCCATGTACAGGTTTTATGGTGTTTTGGAAAGTTAGAGAGTCACATATAAGGCTTGCATTTCATTTTTTTGGCCAGATTGGTTATGTTGCCTTTGAGAGCGTATGGTAGCCCAGGAATGAGAATTACCCCCATGATGGCATACCATTTGCAAAAGTAGACAACCCAAGGTATTGCAAGTGGGGTATGTCCAGTCTTTCTTAGTAGCCACTTAGTCACAAACACTGGCCAAATATAATTTTTTTGCTTTTTTCACACAAAAACAAATATGAACGCTAACTTTGGCCAGTGTTTGTGACTAAGTGGCTACTAAAAAAGACTAAACATACCCCACTTTCAATACCCTGGGTTGTCTACTTTTTCAAATGGTATGCCATTACGGGGTAATTCTCATTCCTAGGCTACCACACAGTCTCAAAGGTAACATTACTAATCTGGCAAATATCAATGTGAAAATGGAACGTTCTATATTTGACCCTGTAACTTTCCAAAACACCATAAAATCTGTTAATGGAGGGTACTGTTGTACTCGTGAGACATCGCTGATTACAAATATGTGCATTTTTTTGCAGTAAAACCTAACTGTATGATGACATTCACAGCTAAAATGTCAGACGGAAATACTAATTTTTAAAAAAATCTTATTTTCTCACATTTTTTAAAATTTTATTCATAATAAATTCTGTTCCATATATGAATAGTTAATGACAAATTAAAGCCCTGTTTCTCCTGAACAAAATGATATATAATAAGTGTGGGTGCACTTAATGTGACAGCAGTGAATTACGGTTGAACAGACATATAGCGCAAATTCCAGTTTTGTTTTGATCAGAACGTGCACTATTGACTCCGTCCTGAAGGGGTTAATATTAAAAGAGTAATAATAATAATATTTAGAGAGTAATAATAATAATATTAATATTAAAAGAGTAATAATAATAATATTTAGAGAGTAATAATAATAATAAGTAAACCTTTATGATACAGTATCTCTGCACCAAACGTTGAATTTTTATTTTCTCAGACAAGAATTGGAAAATGGTGACCTGCAGCGCCACCATGTGGATGATTTATAAAGGCATAGTACAGTATTTGTAAGAAATAAGCAGCATCTGCTGGACGTGTTGGGAACTAAGTTACTGCCAGCCTGCCAAGTCCTCCATTGATGTTAACTTATTCTAACCTAGGGATCTCAAACTCAGGACTCCACAGATGTTAAAAAAGTGTCACTGTACATAAAAAAGGAATGTTGTGAGATCCTCGCTGGCTCTGAAAGAGTTAACTGGTATATACTGATGCACTGTCTGTGTCTGTTAGTAGTTTAGTATTCTTTCTAAAGCCTGCCAGAATTATTTACTTAAATAAAATGGACATAGTAACTGTAATTTTAAACCAACGTTACGACCCATTCTTTCTAATGCATTATATCGATAATGCATAAAAGTAAAATAACAATAAATTAAAACATAAAAAAGATGTGCAGCTTCTGCAATAAATTCTTAGCAGAGTGAATTAATGTAGAATTGCTGAACTTATCACATAAAGTCAAGACTTGTTGTATGGCAGCATGTTTGGGGTAAAAAATGGAAACATTGCAGGTTTGGGGGGAGGACAGAAAGGGTCGACTCACGGAGAAAAAAAATTCATAAAAAATACAGAAGATTAATATAAAACACATGGCGTATAGCTTAAACAAAGTTGCTTAAGGGGAGGACAAAAAGGGGGATCACGGAGATCGTTCTATATTTCACCTCCTTTTCTAACACATGGCGTATAGCTTATTATAAAGTACTGTAATTTAACCTACTCATTACATCAAACCTGCTCCTGGAATCGTTCTATATTTCACCTCCTTTTCTAACCGTTACTATAGGTTTTCCCAAACCGATTCAATTAGGGTAACACTCGACTACCTGTAACTAGTTGCTGTTCACAGTCAATCAAGTAAACAGCCTCACAGCTCACCAAGGGTCAGACTGGATCTTGCATACACTGTCTGCAGGAAACTCTGATGAGTGGGCGAATTGAGTTAACCGTTCGGCAAACCGTTCGGGAATCACATGTAACTATTGCTTTCATAATAATAAACAGCAAGACCAAGGGTCAACTGATTTATAACTGTCTGCAGAAACCTGAGATGGCATTATTAACCCCTAATACATGCTTTGCCATTATACATTATTTATATCACATGCTATTTGTAGATGAGGGTTAGTGTTAGAGTACTGAATGGGGTTATTAGAGTGAGTCTATAGTGATAGAATCTTCTGGACTTCAGCAATATTTATTTTGTACAGTGATTCCATTGTCCTGTTATACATAGTGACTATTACACAAAATAGGAGCATTTAACTCCTTTCAGTGGGCTCCCCCGCATTGTATCTTTTCTGTTGACACATAGAGATTAATTTAACTTAGTTTCAGTTCATATTTATTGTAACAGATTCTATTGAATTCTACTGACATTTTACATTACACTTCATTTCTGATATGTAAGAATCATTACACTTAACGAGTTGTCAGCTTTTCTTAGGGGGTTCCCATGTACTGTATCTATTTTTGATCTATAGATACTATCAGGTATTCACTCTCTTTATTATCTTATCGATCTACCATTTCTTATTTCTTATTTTTTGTTTGTATTTGCATATTTTTTTCTTATTATTCTTCATGACTTTTGTCTTATTTTTTTCTTTATCAAGGGACTAGATTAAATGTCTATTTTATCATTTATTTATCTGTTCATTCAGATTTATGTTTTCTATTTACAAATAAAGTATCTTCTAGATTTTTAACAGTTTGTGTGTTTTTGACATCAGCATTAGGAACAGATCTCTCTCCCTTTTTTTCTTTGTACTTATTGAGGTTTACCCCCTACTCTGTTCCTATAGACATCAGGATATTGACGTTCTGGCCATCGTTTAAAATGTATTACTTATTTCTCTAGGTTTCAATACCATTTCTGGCCCTTTTTATTGGATTATTTATATTACACACCATTACAATTCTTTATTACACGTCTTCTAGGGCCAATTTTGCCAATGACTGACCTCCTTGATAGACTGGGTGATTCGAGCTTAGGCCGTGAGGAGATTATAAATGTCTTCTCAACTAATCCATTAACTTCACATGATGCCACTAACAGTAATATTAATACTGCTTTTTTTAAATTATAAAATCATATCAGGACCAAATAAGAAGTTTTTGGGAAGTCTGAAACAATACCTGGAACAAAAATTAGTCCCTAGAGGTTTGCGTCCAGATATTTTATTGCCAGATAAAATCCAGACTGAGGAGCAGCTCAGTGAATGGAATACCATCTTACTGGACTGCTCCTTTAAGTTAATGGATTTTCTGGTCAAATTGGAGTCAACCAACTTTGATGTGGTCAATACAAAGTTGAACGATGACATCACCTCAATTAAAAAATATAAAACTGATGACCTGTATTCTCGGATGGAGACTAAGTTACAGCAAAATATCAATAACTTTAGACACCATCTGAAGGTTAAAAAACATACCAAATTTCAGAGGGACTTCAAAGATTTTAAACATGGAAAGATTTTCAGACAAAGTGGTAAATACTCAAGACGAAAAAATAATACAAGAGGTTCCTCCTCTGGTGAAACTGACTGGTCGGACCAAGACCAGCCATCCCAGTTCAGACGAAGAGCCTCAGTTAAATCTAACACTGATCATACAAGAGATCTGAGCTCCCAACCTAGTTACAACAAAAGCATTCTGAAACAGTCCGACAAGGTAGTCTCCTTTTTAGACATACCGATTTCCACAGATGTCAATAATTCCCAGATCACCACTACCACATTGTCAAATCCTTTTTTAGAACAGGACCAACCTCACCAACAAAGGGGTCGATTGAGAGACAGGGATCGGTGGGCCTACAAGAATCAGAATCGCCCTCAGAGGTTCTAACTCCAAATAAGATAATTAATCTGTCCAATTTCCATCTATCGGTCCATCATACCACCTTGTTAAATAGGGGTTTATCATTTGTACCAACTCCTTCCTGTAATAAATTTAATTGGTCTACGGATGTTAACCTCTTTGGCAGAAAACTGGCTCTTAATATCATGCATGCCAAAAAGGACCAAGCTTTGGCCAATGAATTAGGTTTGTCTATAAAAGATTATGAATTCTCTAAAACCTTGGACAGCCTTCTGGATGAGAATGACCCCTATAGACCTCTGACAGACTATAGACCTCCAAGTTACTTCACTCCAAACTTTACAGACACTCCCCATGTTGACCTCTTTATACAGATGTCACTTAAAGAACTGGAAAATATGGACAATCAGACCCCATATCCCAGCAATTTAAGCTTTTGTGAATGGCAAGCTTTGAAAGAACTACAACAACACACTGATGTCATAATAAAACCAGCAGACAAAGGTGGCAACATTGTTCTGATGAACCGGTCTGAATACATCGATATGTGCATGTCACTTCTGGATGATAAAATGTATTATAAGACTCTCCCTTCAGACCCAACTACCACCTTTGTAGGCGAATTGGTTACTCTACTTAATGATGCTTTAGATCAACAGGTGATATGTAAGGATGAATATAGATTTTTATTACCACATAAAAACCCTACTATCGCCACATTCTATTGTTTGCCAAAAGTACATAAGGGCATCAGACCCTCTCCTGGTAGGCCTATTGTGTCTGGGAATAACTGCCTTACAGAATCTCTAAGTAAATTTGTTGACAAAATCCTGCATCCTATGGTAGTGTCATTACCATCTTACCTTCAGAACACTAAGTCTACTCTTCTAACTCTACAGAACATGACAGTCTCACCTTATACACAACTGGCAAATTTGGATGTGGTAGCATTATATTCAAACATTCCCCATACAATGGGTTTGAGGGCATGCAAATTCTTTTTAGACAATACATCATACAATGCCCAACAGAAAAACTTTATTTTGGCCATCTTGGAGTTCATTCTAACGCATAATTACTTCATTTTCAATGGATGCTACTATCTCCAGATATCCGGTAATGCCATGGGTACGGCCTGTGCACCCACCTATGCCAATCTGTTTTTGGGGTGGTGGGAGCAACATGTCGTCATGACACCTAGATATAACCAATTTCGGGAATATATCTTAAGTTGGCACAGATACATTGACGATATGTTGCTCCTTTGGACAGTTTCCGTCCCCCCGTTTGAAGATTTCGTCAAAGCTCTCAATGATAATGACATCAATTTAAAATTAACATACGTAATTGATGAACATGAATTGGTCTTTTTAGACCTAAAAATTCTACTGGAACAAGATGGAACTATACAAACAGAACTGTTTAGAAAAGCAACATCAACCAACAGTCTATTACATTGGGAGAGTCATCACCCCTACAGACTAAAAGTGTCTATCCCTTCTAGCCAGTATTTGAGGGCGAGATCAAACTTTTTATAATGAATGTAAAGCGTTAAAATCCAGATTTAGGGAACTAGGTTACCCTAATTGCGTTTTAAAACGTGCTTTCCATCGGGTCTGTAGCATCGATAGAAACACTAGTCTCCATTTTTACAAACCCAAACAAGAGCTTAAGGCCCCACGCTGTATTGCAACATTTGATCAGGGCTGGGGGCCCATGTCGCAAATCCTCCAGAAGAATTGGCCAATACTCTTACACAACCCCGAACTACAACAAGTGTTACCAGAGTTTCCACCTTTAACCGCACGGAGACCAATTAACTTACAAGATCAACTTGTCCATAGTCATCTGACATCTTCGTCACTACCAACTAATTGGCTATCTAATACTAAGGGAACCTACAGATGTGGACATTGTAAGGCCTGTCAATTTATTTTGCCCTCCAAATTTACTACATCTACTCAGACTCAGATTCGGATTGAGACCAACGCTCTGGTTAATTGTAGTTCTACACGTGTGATCTATCTGATCACCTGTAGTTGCGGAACCCAATACATTGGAAAAACTTTCCAGCAGTTTAAACGTAGGATTTTGCAACATGTAACATCTGTTAATAACACTGTCACCCCTACTCCGGTTGCAAGACACATTCTCAATTTCCACGATGGAAATCCTAACAACTTGAGATTCCAGGTAATTGAGAAATTACTACCTAATCCGAGGAAAGGGGACTTTAACAAGATCCTGCTCAGAAAAGAATCACAGCGGATTTTTTCATTTAAGACCTTAGTTCCTTTGGGTCTTAACGAAGAGTTCAACTATACACCATTCATACAATAACCATGTGAATTATGATCAGTTTATAATTTCCTTTGTTTATTCACTTATGGCATAACTATGTATTAATTAGGAGTATATATGGTTATCTACTTTTTCTCAATTGGCACTACTGTAAGTCACACAATTTTCTTATACATATCTTTTATCAGTGTATATTATGCTGTCAGCCTAGGCATGATAGGAGTCATGACATTTCAGTTCACCACTGTGACATCATAGACGCAATATTTCTGGGATATGTCTATTGAAGTCTTTTTTTATTTATTTTGCCCATCCCTTTAATTAGTTGATTTGGTCGTAAGTTTCTGTTATCATGTGGTTAACTGGTTTTTGTAACATAATTAGGGTATTTTTCTTATTATTCTTCATGACTTTTGTCTTATTTTTTTCTTTATCAAGGGACTAGATTAAATGTCTATTTTATCATTTATTTATCTGTTCATTCAGATTGATACATCTTTAAATATATTGGGATTGCAACTAACCCCATGTGATACTCCTTGGACGGACCGGCATTATTAGTTTGATCCACTTCGGCTACCGTACTTTTTTCTATCCCTCGAGCTGTAATAGAACCAATCAGCATTGAGGGCAGACTTTTTAAACCCCTGCATGTCGGGCGTTCAGTTCCCCCTGATGAGCCTGTAAGTTAGGCGAAACGCGCGTTGGGGCGCGTACACTAGACATTTTTTCGTGATTATCAGGCTAGAAACTTTGAGTGTTTTCATTAACCCTCTTCCCTCTCACTAGCACGGACATATACCTTTGGATCATTTATTACCTGGGACCTCGAGGGGCTATGAGGGTTTGAGACACGAGCCGGTCATATTTATTAGATCGATCAGCATAATATTTGTTACTTGTGCAGTATATACATATACCTGGTGCCCTCGAAGGCACCATTCTAACTGTCTTTTATTTATTAGGGCTCATGAGTCATTTCATTAAGGCTACTGGACATATTCTAGACAGTGTAGCCTTTTCACTTTTTTGATTAATCTTATTTCTTTTTTCATTAAGTTCAAAGACCCATTTGATATGCTGATGTGTTCTATCTGTATAATTAATTAGATTTAATTCTGTTCTTATTTTAGAACTACACGATTACTGCACTTACAATCTCGTTTATTAGAGCGAGTCTATAGTGATAGAATCTTCTGGACTTCAGCAATATTTATTTTGTACAGTGATCTCTTTGTCCTGTTATACATAGTGACTATTATACTAAATAGGAGCATTTAACTCCTTTCAGTGGGCTCTCCCGCATTGTATCTTTTCTGTTGACACATAGAGATTAATTTAACTTAGTCTCAGTTCATATTTATTGTAACAGATTCTATTGAATTCTACTGACATTTTACATTACACTTCATTTCTGATATGTAAGAATCATTACACTTAACGAGTTGTCAGCTTTTCTTAGGGGGTTCCCATGTACTGTATCTATTTTTGATCTATAGATACTATCAGGTATTCACTCTCTTTATTATCTTATCGATCTACCATTTCTTATTTCTTAGTTTTTGTTTGTATTTGCACGTATGCTCTTTGTCTTGACTGCCGTAATTGACTTTTTGTTGAGTCAGGCAGCCATAGCTGGGTTTTTTTTTAGATTTATGTTTTCTATTTACAAATAAAGTATCTTCTAGATTTTTAACGGTTTGTGTGTATTTGACATCAGAATTAGGAACAGATCTCTCTCCCTTTTTTTCTTTGTACTTATTGAGGGTTACCCCCTACTCTGTTCCTATAGACATCAGGATATTGACGTTCTGGCCATCGTTTAAAATTTATTACTGAATGGGGTTAATAATTAGTATTAGTCTAGTGCAGGGGTTAATTTCAGTGATAATATAGTGTAAGGGGTAATATGTGGTGTGTTAGATTAATGTAGCTGTCACTGTGTTACTTGTGCATTCATTTGGATTTTGGGCGTTCGGAACTGTTTGTTTTGTAAATCTGTCGGTTCTGAGTTCTGGCTGTGGCAGCATTTAAAAGATGACTAATAATAATTCATGGTTAGGTCATTTTATTTACAGATCATGAGGAAAGTGACAATTAAAGGGAAAAATGTTAGAGCAGAAAAAAAATTCAAAAATCTATATTTATAAATTATATATCAAATAAACATGATATATAAATATGTAAAAAATATATATTTTTTTTTAATTCCCCCTCTATTGGTTAATCATTTTCACTTGATCTCTGAAGTTGAGAAAATGTACCTACAAGTGTACTGCAAAATAAAGATATACTATTTATATTAATGTATATATCAATATATATTTATATATTAATTTTATATTTATTTATATAATTTGTAGCACATCCTTTTTCCCTGAAACAATCGCATGGATGACATTCCTAAGAACCAAAACAACATTGGCAAAACCCAAAATGCCCCAAATAAGCCCCATTTTTTTGTGGGTAGGGTAGTAGTTAATATTAGGGGGGTTAGTGTAGTGTAATGTGGGTAGGGTAGTAGTTAATATTAGGGGGGTTAGTGTAGTGTAATGTGGGTAGTAGTTAATATTAGGGGGGGTTAGTTTAGTGTAACGTGGGCAGTAGTTAATATTAGGGGTGGTTAGTGTAGTGCAACGTGGGTAGTAGTTAATATTAGGGGGGTTAGTGTAGTGTCATGTGGGTAAGGTAGTAATATTAGGGGGTTAGTGTAGTGTAATGTGGGTAGTAGTTAATATTAGGGGGGTTAGTGTAGTGTAATGTGGGTAGTAGTTAATATTAGGGGGGTTAGTGTAGTGTGTGGGTAGTAGTTAATATTAGGGGGGTTAGTGTAGTGTCATGTGGGTAAGGTAGTAATAATATTAGGGGGTTAGTGTAGTGTAATGTGGGTAGTAGTTAATATTAGGGGGGTTAGTGTAGTGTAATGTGGGTAGTAGTTAATATTAGGGGGGTTAGTGTAGTGTAATGTGGGTAGTAGTTAATATTAGGGGTGGTTAGTGTAGTGTAATGTAGGTAGTAGTTAATATTAGGGGGTTAGTGTAGTGTAATGTGGGTAGTAGTTAATATTAGGGGGGGTTAGTGTAGTGTAATGTGGGTAGTAGTTAATATTAGGGGGTTAGTGTAGTGTACAGGTCAGTTAATTTAGTTATTCTTTATTGATTGTGTAAGGTAGAGGTTAACGTGTAGTGTAGGGTGTTCAGGTAATGTAGGGGTAAATCTGTAGTGTAATGTGTTAGGGTAGTGAGTAGAGGGAGTATTTCAGCTTCTATTAACTTTCTCATAGCTGTCACTCAGAAGTGTATCTTTCACTAATCCAGGGCACACCAAGCCAAGTATCTCTCAGCTCTGATTGGTTATAAAAAGACGTCATTGATCTCATAGGGTTTGTAATGACAGGCTTAGAGATAATCAGAGTGAGAGACTCTACAAAATACAAATTACTACAAAATAATAACACTGTGGCTCAGTGGTGTATCCTGGTTTTGTGCTGCCCTAGGCAGGACAAAACTCAGGTGCCCCCCTCCCCCCACGCCACCCCCACCCAACCCTTCCCCCTTACCTTTGGGAATGCTGGGGGGGAGGGAGGGGTCCCTCTCTCCCTGGGGGTGCAGGGGGTGCAGTGGCTGGCGGGCGGGCGGCTGGCAAGGGAGCTCTTCCTCTGAGCAGTCTGCTCAGCTCCCTCGCGCGCCGCAGAGTGAGGCTGGGAGCTAGGTTGATGACGTCATATTCCGGCTCCCAGCCTCACTGTGCGAGGGGGTTGAGCAGACCGCTCAGAGGAAGAGCTCCCTCGCTAGCCACCCGCCCGACCATCAGCCAGCGCCGCCCAGTGCCCAGCATGTCAGTTAGCCACGAGGCTAACTAGGCATTTGCCCTGGGCATTTGGGGGCGGCGTTTTTTTGCCGCCCCCTGGAAAATGTCGCCCAAGGCAAATGCCTTGTTTGCCTCGCGGCTAATACGTCCCTGCTGTGGCTACTACAGGGTGACAGTAGTGGTGGTGCAGTGCAGTTCTGATCACCGCTGTCTATGTTAAGGAGACACTAAGACAGCTAAGTAACGAGGGGTCAAATTTAAAGTTCACATATAATCCAGCTTTCAAGTTTAGTACAGTATTGATTGTTTATTGATTATTCGTTGTGTATAAGAAGCATCGGATCGGTGTAGTCTGTTGTAGACATACATGCTCTTGGTGACTTCAGTGCTTTTCAATGAGATGCATTGGATTGGACAGAGACCGTTCCAAACTTCCTGCTTCATTCTGGGAAAAAAGGGGACGGGGACCTTGCAAAATAAAGGGTCGAAATTTGGGGAATTTAGATAAATAAGAATGGCATATTATTTTATATTAACTGCCTTGTGTAAGTGCATAACATATTTATTATTCTTTTTAATCTGTCCTACGTGGCTCGGCAAAGTGTTTGAATGTAATTGCCATTTATTGTGGAGAACAAAAGGCTTGATTAAAGGAGGATATTTCTCTCTCTCCTAATGTTATAGGACAGCAAACTCACTAAACCAGCTGTGATCCTACTAATTGCAGTGGTCATGGTAACAGAGCAATCTTCTGTAATTTGCTAAATTAAACTTCGGCTAAAGCACCCTTTGTAAGAAGAAGGGACGCACAATAGCAGAATATTTCATGTAAATAGGACGTCTGATCCTGCCCTCGGGTGTCACAGCTATTAATTGGCCGTATGTATATGAACCATCTGTTATTCTCAACAAAACATTAATGTTAAAAAATAGAACACCCATTGTGGGTGCTACAGGTCCTCTCTGACCCAGTCCTCAAGGCACAGCGACTGGCAGACCTGGGAACCACTGTGTGACACTAATAATGGCTGATGTGCATGCGGGTGTAATATGCATGGAGTCTGTCTGAATAACACACCTCAGACAAATTCTATCTTAATGTTAACTTGTCAGTTCCCTCGGCTTTTGTCTGGATTGCACTTTTCATCGTCATAATAATTTTTTATTTATGAAATCCTGCCGAGCAGAGTACATTAATAGGTCATTCAGGATTATGTTTTTATCATCATTACTGTTCTCTCTACCATTGTATTCTGTTGCACCATTTTTATTAAGTAAAGAGTATAAGTGAACTGAAAAAGACTGATACCGCCAGTTTTGAGATCTTGCCAAGGAGCTTACATTCTACATACAATCTGTCAGGACAAGAGCCCAGTGCATGCTGGGGAAGGACAACTCGGCACCACCACCATCAGCGTTGGACATGGGATATTTGGAGTGCGGGATATACAGATGGATAGTATTAGATCTGTCCCTCTAAGTTTCCATTGGGGGTTATTGTGTCCTGCACAACTGCCACATATTGTGCTAATTAGGGCGACCAACCCCTCCTTTCTCTGTTTTTTCTCAATAAGGTTAATTTTGGGCGGGAATGGGAATAAGTCATGATTCCTCCACGTACCCCGGAAGGATGGCATTTTTGTCGAGTGATCTCTCCCGTTCTGCTCCTGAGTATACGTCCAGGTGTTTGGATGGGAGTTCCTCTGTGGTTTGTTGTGGTTTGGGTACCGTGGGTATGCTTGTCAGTGATGGTGCTGTGTCAGACGCGGCAAGCAATCCTTTTAGGCCCTGGGACCCCATCATGGCGTCCTCCGTACTTAACTCTTCAATGATTCGTGGGGTGTTCACTCGACTGGTGTTCGATAGCAGATTGCTGGAATTAGACTGAAGAAAACAATGGAGAAAAAAATCACAATTTTCTTTTAGGAATTTTCACCAAACCTTCTCTGTCTATTGGTTTATTCAGCGCATTAACATTGAGAGATAAGAAATCGAAGTGGTGGGAGGATGGGGATCCTGTAGGAGGGTTCTTGTGACTCATCAGTCATGCGCAGCTCTCATGCCAGTGTCAGATTGTCAGTCTACGTACGCACTAAGGATACTGGCCAGTCCACGCTGCACAATGTATAGGCCTTAGACACCTTGTACTGCCCCTCACCCTGTGCTTTGTGGGTGCTCAGAAAGAGAACATTTACATGACTGGTCCATATAATACCGTATAGTAAACACCCTCTGCTTCCTGCAATACATCCATCCAGTTCTCACCTGTTGCACGGATCCAAGGCTGAGCTCCAGTTTCTTTTTTCGAGATATTTCGGGATTCCAGTGACAGACCAGGCTGTCGTTCTGAACGCTGTAGTTTTTGTTTCCTATCAGCCAGTACGTTTTCATTTTGCCTTTACCCTGAAATAAAGCAAACAATCAGATCTCCCAAAGCAGCTTCAGCAGAGGCAATTATTTGGGCATTGTAGTGTTTGATTTGCCCCGTAGCAAGCCAAATAATGGATGGGCACATATATAACCCAGGAGTCCCTGTACAGGGGTATAACATAATGGATGGGGGCTGTCCGCAATCTCTGCCCAGAGAAACCCAATATCAGTTTGTTCTATGAAACAGTAAAACTTATCCTGCCTCCCCTAAAAGATCGACAAAAAAAAAGCGCTAAAACGTATCCAAAAAGGCGCAATCCTCCACCGCTGACGTCTCCACAAGAACATGAGCAGCACAGAGGAAAGGCCATGCCAGTCCCAGAATGCCATTAGCCATCACAGAACTGTTATTCTGGTTGATGACACTCCTATGACACTGTCGGAGGTGGTTTCACCCCCAGCAGCAAAGGGGTTAAACTTCCTGTATGCAGTGTTTACAGGAACCACAATCATTTCAAATCACTGAAGTGGTTATGGTGCTTGAAGTAACTCTTGAATGCAAAGCATCGTCATCACAGTGCTAGAATAACAGGGCACTCATTGGAAGACAGCATCACCCCAATATTATTTTTAATGTAATTTATAGAACGGGCACACAAGGACCCTGCACTATAACCTGGCATCTTTAACAGAGATTACACTGTCCTCACCTTAACATCGATCTCTCCCCGAGGTTCAATTTCATAAGCATCGTCTACGAGCAGAACCTGGTAGGTGGCGGAGCTGATGTGGATCCTCTGGGCTGTTTAGATCAGAGTTGTATACAATATGGATCTGGTCACTGGGTATTTCATAAACAGATTACTGCCATCAGGTTAACACAAACAAGTCTCAGATTATATTTTCCCTGTTGGGTCTACTAATGAGTACTTTTGCAATGCAACTTTTTGACACAGCTAAAGCAAAATTATCAATAATTTGGCAAATATATAATCACTACAAGGAATAATAGCAGAGCGGACATCATTACATATCACAGTTCTAAATGTCATATCGTACCTCACTTGCCAATCCTAAAACTCACTCAGAATTGCAAGCAAGCCTCCTCCTGAAAGGTGACTGCTGGCCCAAGCAGTATGCAAAGCCACCGAACCCCCAAATGGCTCACACCAAATCTGACATCTTGGTATATGGGTGTATGCAATGCGTCACAGAATATGGGTAGTTGTTTGCTCAAGTCTAAATATATTTCACTGCCACTGTTAGAAACTATAGATATATGTTAGGTATTTTATTTATTTATTTCTTAATTATTGTTAATTTTTTGCATACAAATCAGGGGTTAGTCCTATCGGCACTGTTGTTTAAGTAAGGGAAATCCGGGATCCGTGAGTAATATTACGTAAGCTTGTAGATTCCATTCGAGAAGCTGTGTTCACTGTGTCTCCAAACAGACAGTATCGAGGCATCTTGTACCCAACCACACCAGCGACGCAGGGTCCTGAGAGTACGCAAATGTTAAAATAATCAATAAATAGTCTAGAATAAAAATGATAAATTCCCTACAAAAGTGAATTAGTGACTAGTTTTGTAAAGTAGTCATTAGATCAGCACAGCTGACTATTTACAGAATAAGTTTCGATGGTAAAAGCAATATAGTCCATAACCTATGTATTAAATAACCCTATCCTAGGTACCCCTAAACTTGAAACAGTCCATAGTATCCAGTAATGCTATGCAGAGGTACCCCAAAACCTAAGTATCCTTTGACTCTAACCATAAAGGGTTACTCCAAATCTTTTGTGTGTAGGGAGTGCGAGGATAATTAAAGTTTACATTTAAAAAAATACTTTAAGGCAATCATGTTAAACTCGCGGCCCACAATGGACATCTCTGTGGCTCGGCGAGCCGTGAGTACATCCTTGGTGTTATAGCAGAGTAGGCACCTGCTCTCCCCATATTGATCCCTACTGGACCCCAGGGAGAAGCCCCACATTGGCTCCCAAAGGTAGGGAGCAATAAAGAAAATGATATGTGTGCAAGGTCTGTCTGTCAGTGTGTGTGTGTGTCTGTCAGTATGTGTCTGTGTGTGTGTCAGTGTGTCTGTCAGTGAGTGTGTGTGTGTGTCTGTCAGTGAGTGTGTCTGTCAGTGAGTGTCTATGTGTCTGTCAGTAAGTGGGTCTGTCTGTCAGTGAGTGTGTCTGTCTGTGTGTCAGTGTGTGAGTGTGTGTCTGTGTG